CAAGCATCTTATGTTTTACGGTTTAAAATATTAGCATTTATTTTTTACTCTAAATTTTATTTTTGGATCAAGTCAGACTCTCAGAAAACCACAGGTTTTTACCAGATTATTGACTTTATAGAACTGCTGATTCAGGTGAATTGTGCTTTGGCTTTCTGTCCAAAATGACACTGAATATACTGCTCACATGGATCACATGTTATCCCCTTTAAAATTTAATAGAACAAAGTTTAATCCTTAGTTTTTAGTACCAGGAAAAACTCCTTCAGAACGACTGACTTGCTTTTGTATTATGGGTACATAGAATTTCGTAACGAATTCTCTTTGTTTTGTTTCTAATAGCAGCCAAAGTTTCCACCCTAATTCTATGTACAAAAGAACAGGTCTGGATTAATTTTATTCATTGCTTTATTTTCCATTCTTACATTTTCTTTCTGCTTAGATCAACTTATTTTTATCCTGTTATATATATATGGAGCAAAGTAAATACAAATGTATACAAGTTTCTTTTGTATTTATCCACTATTTAGCCCTGCAAGAGAAAAATGAGGCTTTCTGCTCCCTCAAATATTTAAAGCCTTGGAAATCCTCTACATGGTTGCTATGAGTCTGAATTGACTGAAGGACACATAACAGCAATAATAATAATGATTTAGCCAATAAATTAAGACAGGAAGTTATAGAAATAGAATCAATATACATCAAGTTACAAAGAAGTAGGGAGGAAAGACTTTTTGTAAAACAATTCAAAATATCTTCCTATTTAAAATGAAGGCTAATTTTTTTTTAAGTAGAAAGGAATCTGGAGAACACTAGTTCTGTGAAAAATCCAAAGCTTCCTATCAATTGACAAACTCACTGCATTACAAGGATACACCAAGGGTCAAGAATTATCAAAGCAATCTTAAAAACAACAGAGTTGGAGGACTTGGCGCTTTTAAAACATCAAAACTTAAGTTGTTGTTATTTGTCTTTGAACCAACCCTAAATCTTGTCATAAAGCTATAGTGGTTAGGCCCCTCTGGTATTGGTATAAAAACAGACCAACAAAACAAGAGTCGAGAGGCCCAAAGCAAGCCTACACATACATGATGATGCTGGTAAGGGTTATATGCCGTGGAGTCATACCGACTCAGTGAGCCTGTACAGGGTTTCCAAGGCTGTAAATGTTTACGGGCGCAGAATGCCTCCTCTTTCTCCGGTGGAACTGCTGAAATAGTTTTAAGTTGCTGATCATTGAGATTAGCAGCCTGATTCATAACCACTATGCTATCAGAGCTCCTTACACATACACGAGTTGCCTGATTTTAGACAGAAGTGACACCACAATGCAAATTTAGTAAATGGGGCTAGGTCAACATAGAAAAGAAAACACAAGAACTATGAATGATCTCATGGCTCTTCCACATACAAAAATCAATTCTCCTTGGATCATAGAATAATTGTAAACAACAAAATAGAGCCCTTTTAGAAAAAAAAACACAGGCGTATAGCCTAACGTTGGGGTGGGCAAACGTTTCTTTATGTAGGAGGCACAAAAGCATTCATCTTTAGGGTGGTGGTGGTTGTGGTGGTGTGCCGTGCAGTCAGATCTGACTCAGAGTGACCTTAGATAGGGTTTCCAAGGCGGTAAATCTTTTTGTTGTTGTTGTTGTTGTTTTCATTCTTTTGTAAGTTTTTTTTTGTGAATTTAGTGATCGTTTACATGGGAGAACATCAGCTTTTCATTCATCACGTTGTTTCTTGTTTCATTGCAATGATTACAATCTCCTCTGCGCATTATCATTCAACAGTATTTGCTTCTAATCCCTCTGGGGTTTTTTCTTTTGTTTTGTTGGGGGGAGGTGTACACAAAAACACTTATGAACATACAATCATTTAAACAACCAAATGGCACATTCTGCAAGCCTCTGAGGCTGTAAATCTTTACGGAAGCAGAAAGTCTCATCTTTCTCCCACTGAACAGCTGGTAGTTTCAAACTGATAACCTTGAGGTTGGCAGCCAGGAGAAGTGTGACACACAAACTCTGGCCATCCTGGCCTCTAAAGAGCACTCTGGCTGTACTTCTTCCAATACAGATCTCTTTGTTCATTTGGCAGCCCATGGCACTTTCAATATTCTCCTCCAACACCATAACTCAAAGGCATCAATTCTTCTACGGTCTGCCTTATTCACTGTCCAGCTTTCACATGCATATGAGGTTATTGAAAATACCATGGCTTGGGTCAGGCGCACCTTAGTCCTCAAGGTGATATCTTTGCTCTTCAACACTTTAAAAAGGCCTTGTGCAGCACATTTGCCTAATGCAATACGTCGTTTGATCTCTTGACTGCTGCTTCCATGAGTGTTGATAGTTGATCCAAGAAGAATGAAGTCCTAGACAACTTCAATCTTTTCTCCACTGTAAGAATGTTGTTTATTGGTCCAGTGGTGAGGATGTTTGTTTTCTTCACAGTGAGATGTAATCCATACCAAACGCTGTGCTCTTTGATCTTCATCAGTAAATGTTTTAAGTCCTCTTCAGTTTCAGCAAGCAAGGTTGTATCATCTGCATACTGCAGGTTGTTAATGAATCTTCCTCCAATCCTGACGCCACGGTTTTCTTCATAGAATCCAGCTTCTCTGATTATTTGCTCAGCATACAGGTTGAATAAGTATGGTGAAAGAATACAACCTTGTCGCACACCTTTCTTAATTTTAAAACATTCAGTGTTCCCATGTTCTGTTCGAACATCTGCCTCTTGGTCTAGGTACAGATTCCTCATGAGCACAATTAAGTGTTCTGGAATACTCATACTTCTCAATGTTGTCCATAGCTTGTCATGATCCATATAATCGAAAACCTTTGTGCAGTCAATAAAGCACAGGTAGACATCTTTCTAATATTCTCTGCTTTCAGCCAAGATCCATAGGACATCAGCAATGATATTCCTTGTTCCATGGCCTCTTCTGAATCCGACTTGAACTTCTGGAAGTT